CTGGTTTATGGCCTGTGGGGTGATCCTGTCCAGTCCATTTTTCTGGGGAGGCTCATGCTGGGATCAGAGGAGCAGAGGAGCAGGTTGCTGTTACCGAAGTAAGGAAGCAAGGAAGCCCTGCAGCTGCTGCACACGTGCAGGCGCTCGTCCTGCCTGCCACATCCACGCCGTTGTCACACGCCTGGGGTGGCCCATGGGGCTGACCAGCCTGAGGCAGCACAAGGTGCAGCCTGAAATCCCAACGCCACGTAGGAGGTTTGCTCCTTACCTTCGTCAGGGCAGGGCCTCTTGTAGAGCACATCTGCTGGGATCTGGAAACTGAGGCACAGCATCTCCTTGTTGGGTGCCACGTTCCTGACCAGGAAAGCGGAACAGCGTCCAGCCAAGGAGGTTCCCAGCACAGCTTCTGCTCGCTCCTGAATGTCTCTGGCTGGGTCGCTGTGTTTGGAGAACCCGTAGCAGTGCACAGTGGGAAGGCCAGCAGGGCTGCAGGGCTCCCCGACCAAGAGGTGCCTGAAAACATCCAGAAACTCCACAGCCAGAGCTGGCAAATTCATCACTATGTGGAAGGCGGTTTTCTGTTCTTCTTTCAGGAGCGGGAGCTCTTTGCTGAGCTCCTCCCTCACAGGCCCCTGCAGGAAGTCCCTGCCGTCCATGTTGAACGCCTTTACCTTGGTGTCCACTCTGTTGAGCTTGCAGTTGTGCAGGAGCCAGGTGTAGGACTCAGGGTTGAGGTCATTGGCAAACACTTGGCACTTTCTCTTGGCTGCTGGGATGGCGAAAGGTCCGATGCCAGCAAAGACGTCGAAGAGGACGTCGCCGGCCTTCAGCAGCTCCACTATACGGCTGTGCTCTGTGGACAGGCGCGGGTTCCAGTACACTTTGGAAAAGTCCAGTTCATAGGCAATGTTATTTTCTTTGACCTGGAAGTCCAAAAGGTTTGCTTAAGCCTCTGTGTTCGAATGCCAGGCACATTTAAGCATTATCACTAAGAAAATGAAAAACCAAGGTGCCTTATCAAAAGATAACATGTACATCAGCATTGTCCCACTGGTAGCACACAGGAATCTTAAATAAACACCTCAACTAAGCAATCAAATAAACAGATCTGAAATCAACAGATCAACTCATCAGAAAGAGCCATGACCCCAGTGTCAATCCCAACGGCTGGCTTTATGCAGGTCTCAATCACCAGGTGGAAATAAAGCAGCAACTTAAAATGACCCTAAAAAAACCTGAGGGTTTTCAAGAGCTTTGTGGCTGGCTGACAACTCCTCTATTGAAAGCAGACCTTGGAAAGATGCCTCAAGCCCTCCTTTGTGGAGTGCACACAGTAAATAAGCGTCTGAGAATGATAGGCCCAAGAACAGGAACCGTCAGCCAAATTCAAAGCTGCTGGGAGCCAGTCCTGCAGCTTGAAAAATACTGTATTTCATCTCCCAAGGTGACAGTCTGGAAACTGATCCAAACCCAAGCTTTGGGATTACCACTGTCTTAAGAACAGACCTGAAAAGGAATAGTATTTATTCAGATGAGAATGGGATGCAAGATAATACTCTCTTTGCACCAGCACGTGGAATTGTCTGATTCCAAAGTACAGTAACTTGGGATCCAGATCACCACAACGTTTGCTTTGCCAGCAAGAAACACCCTGAAGTGTCTCTGTGCTCCTGGATGCAGCTACATGGTGTGCCAGGTGTGTGGTGACACCATCTGCATAATATTCAATTGCCTCTGCTGCCTTGACAATCTAACAGCCTTCTCTCTGCATGAACAGGATGTTCCACCAAGCTATTCAGCCTTTTATTTGGTAATCTCATGTTTTCTCCTTTCAAAATATAAAGCTGCTAACAGATAAGAGAAAATATTTTTGTGGAAGCAGTGGGCCAAGTTTCCAGCTACAGACAAGAAATCCTATGTGAAGAACACTTGGCAGTTACACAGTGATTACACCTGATAAATGTCAGAGCAGAGGAGACAGGAGGTTTGTCTTACTGCTGACAGGAGAGGAAAAAGGCAAAGGCAAAATGTTGCCTAAGTTGCAAAGTTGGTGAGATTGAAATTTCTGTACCAGCCACTGGACAAGGCTTGGTGAAATCAGGAAACTGGATTTTCTTAGATCAAAGCCACATCATTAAATCTAGGCTGTGAACGTGGAATAACACATGCCTTCCTGATCCCCATGGCTGAGTTTGCCCTTGGCAGACCAGGACCCAGCAGAAAGGAATGCAGAGGTAAGAGCCAATCCTTAGGCTCAGACAGGTGTAAGGAAGGGCACTGTGCAAAGGATCAGCAGCATCCCTGCATCACATCTCTCCAGAAGAAGCCTTTGGGTCTTAGCACATTAAATTTAAAATACCAGAGGGAAAAGGCCTGTACCTTGGTCACCAGGTTGTTCTCTCCAGCAAGCACTTCCATTTCAAAATTCCTGTATGTGCTGTCAATAATACTGGTTTTATTCACTACACAGCTAATTCCTGGATTCTTGTCCATTATAACCTGGCCTGAAAGAGAGGGTGAGAGATAATTATGGTTAAGGGACCAGGACCTTTTAATGTTCTGCAACAGCTACAACAAACCTGCTGTTTACAGCTAAACTAACAAAAGTAAGTGTGTGTTGGAACAACCTCCCTCTAATGACTCAGGGCTGCAGCTGTGGCCTTTCCAGGGCACGCATTTCACCCTGGCCAGGGCTCAGTGCAGTGGGAGCACCAAACTGAGAGAGCTGTGCCCCTCAGTACAGTACCTCAACTTTAGCAATATACAAATGGCACAAATACCTTCCTGAGAGAAGCTGTTTCACCTACCAATCAAGTGTCTATAGGGCAGTTGGTGATCCCTGAGATTCAGATGAGCAATGTGGCCAACACGGCTGAATCCAGAGGTGACCTCTTGACCTTGGGGAAGGACGGCTCGCAGGATCTCCTCTGACTTGAAATTCTCATAGGTCAGCTCCAGGTGGTACTTGGTCACTTCAGGATGGACACTGAGCTGTTTCAAAACCTGCTGCTCTGACTCTCCTAATGAGAATTCTGGAACTTTGTGAGGATCCAGGATAACAAATCTACTGTCCTCATCCTCTGGATCCTCCACCACTCGTTTGAGGCCGGGACGTTGCAGTACTGATTGTTTTAGAGACTTCAGCACACTATGCACAATTTCTTTCTTGACTTTAAGAGCTGGAACAACCACTGTCCTTTTGAAAGCCTCTCTGTTGAGCAGTGTCATCCCACGCACTCCAGGATGTGGCAAATACAGTTCTGGATTAGTTTTATCCTCCACAGTTTCGGGCATTGTGAAGAAAGTATTTTTTTTAACTACTACAAAGAGCCCAGGTATTCTGCCAGAATGTTGTGCCAATAACATCCAAACTGCTGGAAATGATGTATTTGATGCAGCTGTCCTAAAATGATTAGTTTTCAGTAGTCTGGCACAGTATCCCAATCTCCACAAAATCCTAGAAGAGAAATTACTCATTTTATAGACATTATGTAATCATTCCATTTAAAAGGCTGCAAATCACATGGATTTGCTGTTCTCTTAAACCAGAATTTCCATCTGTACCAAACAATCCACAATCATTTAGTAAAGCTCCTTATTATGAAATATATGCTGCAAATTTCTGTTATTTTGCAAGTGTATCTTTAGACTCAAACATTAACTGACTTCAAGCAGCGATATAATCCCCTTCTGCCAAAAAACAATGACCTCTCTTTGTTCTAATAAATGTGATATTAATCTCAGTAAGCCAAATGGAAAGACTTCTACTGTCTTGATCCTACTCCTGTTGGATTCCTCCTGTGTCTGGTAAAATTCATTACCAAGCAGTGGTTGCTAGAAAACAGTTATTAGCAACAGTGGTTATGATCACTCTGGTGATTTCTGCCTCCCATGCCCCAGTGTAAGGGGTTCCATGCTCTGTAAGATCTTTGCTCCATGAGATGCATGCCAGAAAGGTCATTAATTAAATGCAATGTCCAGCGTAAGGTCCAGAGAAATATCAGTAATGTCTGTTCCTGCCACTGAGCCCCGGTTCATCCACGGGATGGTAACTTAAAAAGCGGCTTTATACTTCTCAAAATTTTTTCCTCCACTAGAGACAGACCAAAAGGACCCAATTTTCTGCCTTGGCAATGGCTGCTCCAAAGCAGGAACCAATGGATTAGATGGTGCTGGAGGCTGGCATTTCTCCTGACTTTTTTTAAATCTTCCTTTGAGAGAGAGGCTCTGCAAGGAAATTGGTTCTCTTGCCTGCCTCCCTCAGCCTTGCCCCTCTCCAGGGTAACAAGAAGCTGTGTGTTCTCTCTCCTTCACAAACCTGCTGTGCACAAGCCCTGCCAAAGCTGGCCCTGCTCCCATCCCCCGTCCTGCCCAAATCCCAGCTCCTTGCCGGGAACTCCTTACATCTCCCAGGCACCCCACTTCCCTAGGCCAGGGTTTTGGCAGAGCACACCTTCTTCAGGACACACTGCATTCCTCACGTCTGCTGCACAGGAGAAATCCCCTCATCCAGAGGCCTGAGCACCCCCGTGCTTTTCCTGGGACATTTTCCTGGGGGTGGAAATGGGTGGCGTGGTTCTCAGAATGAGAGAATCGAATAGGCTGGAAAAGGCTCCTGGAATTGTCGAGTGGAACTGTGACCGAACACCCACCACCATGGCACGGGGTGTCTTAAACACCTCCAGGACAGCGATTCCACCACTCTGCTGGACATCGTTCCAATGTCTAATCACCCTTTCTATGAAGAGATGTTTTCTAATGTCCAAACTAAGCCTCCCCTGGCGCAATTTCGGGCCACGTCCTCTCATCCTGCCGCTTCTCGGTACCGGATTAAACCCACAAGATAAAGCCGCCCGCAACGCTGGATCTGGCTGGAGGCCCCTGCCGCCACCTCCCCAAGGCGCCTATAGAGAGACGCCTTCCGTCACCACCACGATTCCCGTTTATCCCGTTCTCCCCTCAGGGAATTCTCTCCCCGCTCAGCCCCCTCCCCNAGGAGGACGAGGAGGAGGAGGAAGAGGACGGGGAGACTGCCCCCCTGCTGCCGCCGCCGCCGGGCAGCGTGCGTGTGAGGGGCGGCGGGGAGGGAGCGCCCTGAGGGGGCTGCGCTGGGTGCTGAGGAGAAGCAGCTCGGGGAGCGCGGGTTCAGGGGACGGGGCTGTGCGGGGCGGCTCCGGGGCGACAGCACCTGGGAGGGTGATAATCACCTGGAGAGGGGGGATGAGCCTCTGGTCCCATCGGTGCTCCTGATCCCTTCGATTCCCTGCTTGCTGGGCGCTTGGAAGTGCTGCCATGTGCCCTCGGCCCTGTTGCGAGCAGGCGGGGAGAGCCGGCTCCGAGCCGTAAATCCTGCTGTGCTCGTTTTGCGCTCTGCTCTCGCCGTGTTCAAAGGTTGTGGGGCTGCCGGGCGGCATCGCCTGTGCGCATCGTGTGCGCGTCGTTGTAGAATGAGAAGTGAGATTTTAAACAAGGAAAAGTTGACTTTTGCCCCCTCCCTTGAATTTCATTTTAGGAAAGATCAAAACACCTCTTCCACTAATTGTACTTTTTTTTTTTTCTGTCCTTTTCACAGGGTTCTTCAAGTCGTGGTTCTTCCTTTGCTTTCTCAGTGTTTAACTTAATGAATGCAATCATGGGCAGTGGGATACTTGGCTTATCCTATGCCATGGCCAACACAGGGATCATGGGGTTTAGGTAAGTTTTCAGTTTTTACATATATTAATTCTTAAGCTCGTCTTGTAGGATTAAATTGAACAAAACTGGATTACTGAGACTCCTATACAAATCTGAGGAAGAAATAAATAGCTTGTGCCTTTCAGAATTGTTGGTTAAGATCTTCCCCTTTTTGATTTAGTTGTTCAGATATGGCCTAACATAAGTCCTACCAAGACATTGCATTAAATTGCCACAGGGTGGCAATTTCTTGGCCATTATTCCTGACAGATTTATATTTTCCTTCCAAAACTATAAGCTCCTTTACTTCCAGGAATGGACCTTGTGGAATAGGATGGATATGTGGCTGAAAACTGTGAATCAGCTTGTGCTTTCATTTGTACTTTTGCTTGTTGCAAATGCTAACCTGTGGGTAATGGGGAAAAAGTCACTGGAATTGTCACTTTAACCATTTCCTAAGCATTGGTTTCATTTCAGTGGAGAATGTGTGTTTGTGTATATGTGCACACACAAACTCCCATGGTTATGAGTATTCTGTGTTCCATACATCAGGGCAACTTGGCAAGTGTTGGGAAGATCAGAGACCACATGAACCATAGTCAGCAGATATAAGCCTTAAAATGAGGAAATCATGTAGCCTAGTTCTTGCAAGTGTAGCATTTTTAAAGCACGGAAGTGAATTGTAATGTAAAAGTGCTTAATTGTGAATATTTTGTGGTTTTTAGTATCTTGCTGCTGATTGTTGCCAGCCTTGCTTCTTACTCTGTGTTTCTTCTGCTCAGTATGTGCACTCAGACTGGTAAGTGAAAAGGATTTATCTAACAGTGAGCTCTGAAATATTTCCTCAGTTTTATCACAGAGCCATCACCCAGTATAAAGATTGCAGTTAACAGTGGTGTCTGACTGACTGACCTTGAAATATGTGATGTTTATAACAATTAAAATCTGCCATTTAAAAACAGGATTTTGAGTCTCTTTATACAAAGCCAATGCCAAACTGACTGGTTTCTAAATTTTTTATTTTATTTTTTCCCAAGTGCCTCTCTTATCTTTCCAGAGAGAAAGATATTGTATTTCTGCAGCAAAGTTATTTTGGTGCTGGCTGAACCTTACTACATCAGTGTGTGCTTTTGCTTTCAGTGAATGTTTAAGAGCAATAAAATAGCAGCCTTTCATTCTCCTAGGAGTAGTACATGTATTTTTGTCCATGGTTTGAAATGGATACCTTTCAAGTTTTTCAGTCATATTGGATTATCATTATTCTCATGCTGCTTTATAGATGCAGCTTATAAAGCATTTTTAATGCTGAATGAGAAGTCATGTTGCAGTCCTTGAAAACTGCACTGCTTTGAGACAGTTCAAACAGTCCATTCTAATACCTGCAGGCAAATCTCCTCATATTTTAATTCTTGCTTCTTTTAATTGCTGCTGAAACAACTGAGTCGTTCCTTGACTTATCATACACAAAGATCATGTTACAGCAGGAAGTCTCCCTGCTTATTGTTTCCCTCTCGTCTGTTTTCCTGTCTTTTCAAAGGTGGTGGGAGAAAGCCTCTGCTTCTTTCCTCCTTGGCTTTGTTTTCTTTAGCTGCCTTTGGTCTCTCAGATGATTGCTTCCTGATTCTTCTTAGATCTGCTGCTCCTGTCCCCACCTGTTGAATGATCATACATTCTTAAAAAACACCCCTCAGAGGTAGGGTTACTTTTATGATTGGTTTTGTTGTCTGCTTGATGATTTGGGATTAAGTCTTTGGTTATTTTTTTCTTCTTTTGGAATGCTGCTTATTAGAAAGGAATCAGAAACTCAAACACGTAGCTGGAGAGGTACATGAAGAAAGGGGAGACTTGGGGTAATTTTATTGGCCTTTTTAACCTCTTACTTCAGCCTGAAAAGTTCTGTATTTTATGGGCATTAAGTGATATTAAGCTGTTGTCTAGTAAAAAAATAATTAAAGAGATTCTTGCAAAAGAATTATGATGAGGGGGAGAAATAAGGATTTAAGTCTATTGAAGTAAGAAGAATTTGGATGGTCTGAACTCGGAGGCCTGATATGCAAGAAGGGTTTAACTCCTCAGTTCTTGTCCAAAGGGAACAGTCCACCTCAGGAAAGCATTTCTGAAATGTATACAGCTGCAGTGTCAGGATGAAGAATTTCTCTTGTTTGAAACTAATAATTAGTTATCACCTAATGCTGACTTGCATCAGAACTATGTCTGGATAAGTTTGCTGGATTTATAACCTTTTGTGTTTTGATTTTTTTTAAATAAGAGTTGAGATTGTATTTCCTATAATTTCTGACACTTATTGAAGTAATTAATGTTAGATAGCATTAGTTTTTCTTTGGAACACTGTTTAAAAAGTGGGAAATACAACATGTTGTACCTTGGCAAGTAAAATCTCTGTGCATGTTTGATTCCAAAGTAGGTCATTAAACATTTTCTTTAAAAAGTCTATATTAATTTGTAAACAGTGTTACAGTATTAAACTTAATCCATAGGAAAAAACTTGGAAGGAAAATTTAGTATTTTTATATTAAAACTAGCTAGGAAAATTTAAAGGATGATGAAGAGAAACTGCTGAAAGTTTTTGTGAACTATTATTTAAGAGAGAGATGACGTATAAAACACCTTCTGAAAAGAGAGCTCTAATTCTAAATCCATTTTAGACAGAGGCCAGGATTTATTAAGCACAGGCATTTTGGTTGCAGTTGAAAAATAAAGAAATGTCTTCAGTTACTCAGTTATGTTGGTCTGGACTTTGACAAAATCAAGTGATTTGTGCAGACCAAAAGGCTTAGCAAAAAAAATATTCCCAGGTGTCAAGTGTTCAGTTGAGATTAGTTTAGTCAGTGTTTGTCCTAGTGTTAATTCAGTATGACCTGTGTTGTTTTGGGCTGATAAAGACTAAGCTTACTCTGTAAAGCAGAGGAATTGGGAATTTAAGTGGGATGCACTTTGAAGTTTTGTGGCTGTTATTTTCTTTTCATTTTAGGAGTTAGTCACAAATATTGCTGGTACTATACTTGCCCCTTCACATGCGAAGGAATAATTTCCATGGATTGTTAATAACGATAAAAATTAAGCTGGTCAAGCAGAACTTGTTTGTCTTTATATAAATTGCACTAAATAAATATTTTGTTCCATATATTCTTGAAAGTACAGAAGTAATGTGATTGAGTAATAGGGCTTCCCAGTGTTCACAGGACTAAACTGTTTATAGAAGCAGTTACTACAAAAAATACTCTAAGGTTTCATATTGATCTTTTGGAATTGTGTGGAAAATTTTGTTCTCTTTGCTAATAACTCCTACTACATGTGTGCTGTATATTTTTTACCACATGGTAAAAATAACTTGCTCTTAAATATGTTTACTATTCTACTGTTTGTTTTTTTTTTTTTAATGGCAGTGAAGATGGCTACTTAAAATGCTTTTTTTCCTCCCTTGTGATCAGCTACTTTATAAATGGAAATTAAGAAAAACACTAATTAGGATAAAATCTAGTAAGACAATTTTTTTTAAAATTATATCTGTTAGAGATAGTCCAGGTTTATGCTGAATACTGACTCTGGCTCATTTAATTTTGTTATTTCATTTATATTGTCGTAGTGTGCTGGTGACTGTAGTAGAGCAAAATGGGGAAACATTGCCCTTGAGAAAATCATGTGAGGAAATTTATGAAATTTTTTTAGTTTTGGTTTTTGTTTTTGCTTTGTTCTTTCCCCCTCTGGAGCACTGATCTAATTGTGTGCAGAACTTCAGTGAAATAAAACCACCTAAGCTTGGGCAAGTCTGAGGCTCCAGTCCTGTCATCTGATCTCTGTGAGCTGCCTGTGTCTCCCATGTCCTGTGTCATTTACCTCAGGGAACAGGGCTTCACTCAGGTGTGAAAAGCTCAGCTTGCAAAGCTGGGCCCTCAATTAAGATGTGACAGGAGCAGGAGCAGTGTTGTACCAAACAGAACCAAGGAAGAGAAACCCAGTGTCCTGACAACAGAATTATGTGGGTTTGAGATTAATTTTACCTTCTGGGGCATTCACAGCTGTTTTATTATATCCCAAGAAAGTGAGTGGTGTTTCTCAGAAAACTTTCATCTTTTTGATACTGCTTGAGTTTCTAATAACAAAATACAGAGTAACAATGAAAGGCTTTAATATGACTTCCTTCTCTCTGAGAAGGGATTGTTTTGAGTTACCAGCAATGTGAGCTTCAGCTCACAGCAAAATTATACAGGAAACCACAGGCTGTTTTAATGTAATTATGTAAGTGGGGTGCAAGTAAGGGCAGGATTTTTGTTTTGCTTTGGGTTTTCTTTCGGGTTTTTTAAATAATAGATTTCAACCAAAAAGTGTTTACCTTCACCTCTCTTGAAAATGCATAGGGCCTAGTTCTTAAAAGCTGGAAAGATGGTAATGTTTGTATTTGTAGAAAGATGAAGATGTATCCTCTGTTGTCATCCTAATTTTAAAAAACCTGCTGTTTTAAGAAATAAAATGTGGAAATATCTTATATCTAATTGCTAATGCTAATTTCATAATTCTTCACCTACAAAGAAAATCTTTGGGAGAAGGCAATTTGCCATTAATGTACTACTGTTATATTTTAAATACTGCAGCTGCAAATACTAAATTAAGTTTCTGAAGAGTCTCTGAATGTTTGAGCATAGAGCCATATTTTGTAGCAGGAGCACAGATGTATATAAAAGATATTTTTTAAGTAAAAAATACTATGAAATATTCTTTTAATTCTGAATTTTATTAATTTGAAAAGGGGAAAAAAAGGGCCAAAAATATAGCTTTCAAGCTTTTCATGTTATTTTAGCTCTTTTCTTTTTTTTTCCCTTACCAACAGCTGTCACTTCTTATGAAGACCTTGGCCTGTTTGCATTTGGATCAGCTGGAAGGGTGAGTATTCTTTTTCACCTCTGTTTTTCTTCTTGGTCTTGTGCATCCGATATGCAACTGTTCTTTGCACAGGAAAGAGACATAAATGAAATAAGTAGTGTATTACTGATACTTGTAGTGTGCTGAAAAATCCATCAGATCCTGAAGCTTTTCACTTGGTTTCAGTTCATGTGCCTGCTCTGTGGAAGCTCAACGTTAGTTAAATTTATATTCCCTAAATGCAGGATTTTGTGCTGTTTTCCAGTCAGTGTTCACTTTTAGTTGTCTGTACAAATCTGCTCACTGGCATTGTTGTCAGATTGGCTCAGGGTTCAGATTTGATGGAGTCCTACTTCTGTTGTAAAAGTGTTAAGAGACAGGTAAGTGTTGGATTTGCTGTTGGTGTTTCAGCATTTAATAGGGATCTAAGATAAGGGATGGCTTTTCTTGTCATTTCCACAACAGGAATAACTAAGAGTACATATAATGAATGTTGTTTCCTTTTGTTTAATAAGCTCGTCACATGACTGTTTCTTACTTGTTTTATTTCATGATTTAAAAAAAACCCACAAAATCTCAAAAAAACAAACCAACAAACAGAAGCAACCAAACAAAACCACCATCAAACCATTTGTGATAAAAGAGTAATCAAAATATTAGCTATTTTTTTTTTGTAGTGTGTTCTGAATCTTTGTCCTAATAGTGATGTTATGTAATAACAGTGGGTGCACATAAATACTGCATGTGAATACAGCACATTTAATGTTATGAATTCTATGCTCTATGTTCCAGTTACACCTTACTGAAAACGAGATTTTACTACTCACAAATGTGATTTTAATGTTTTCCTGAAAGAATGCAATTTTTTTAAAATTAGTTTGGCTTAACAGGCTAGAGGCTGCTTTCTTATATCTAAATGTCAGTGAGAATTAAACCTGAGCTATCAGGTGTTTGTAAGGCTTCCATTAGCATTAATAAGCAGATGAGTATAGTCCAAGGATCAATATTCATTGATCAAATCAAGAAGTGATCAACCTCAAGAGATAATAAACCTTGACAATAGCAGGGTATAAGACAGTTATTTTTTTACAGGAGCTATTCTGTACACTTTAACCATGAGTTATAACTATGCTGTAACATATCATAATTATGACTTGAAAAAGTCATAGAAATATAGAGCTTAAGAAGAAACTAAAATGTGACTTACTCTGCCCTGAAGCAGGGCTGAACATGCATAAACCATTCTTGGCAGATGCTTGTCTAATCTGTTATTTAAAAGCTTATGTGAAGGAGATTTAACAGCTTCACATCATGGTCAACATTGTATTTTTTGTTTTTAATTCTTCTTAATATACTGTTTCATAATTTGCAGTTTAAGTAATCCGTGCTCAAAAATATCTGACCTTTTCAGTGTGCATGGAGAGCGCTGGAATATTTCTATGCTGGGAAGCTGTTCCTTTGATAAAATAATTAAAGTTCACCAAGCTTTCCTGGTGAACTGATGTTTTCTGGAACAGTTTTCTTTGTTGCTTGAAACATCTTTGATATTTATACACTTTTCTTAAAATTTGCCTGCAAGACAGGCTTTGCTGCTTCCGATTGTGTTATCTCAGACTGTTTTCTCTTTGCAATCCAGTAACTCTTAAGCCATGTATTTAATGTTTCCTTCTTGAATGCCTTGCTTTTAACTGATATTGTTGATTTTTAGGCTTTGACCATTCTGAATCCCCATCTGTCCCTGAATACTTCTCACTACAGTCAGGCACAGATGACTTTTTTTTTGTTTTTTTTTTTCTCTGTAGCAGTACTTACTTCTCCCTCACACACAGGGAATGATACTGCCAGGCCAGTGTAGAACCTTGCTTGAACTGGCAGCTTAGAGTGAGTAAACTGTTGGTTAACTACTCTTGAAGTAGAGCAATTACTCAACCTGGTGATTTCCTTTCAAATTAATTTTTCTGAGATTTGTAAGAATGGAAATATTCTACTGTTGGAAGATTGCTGATTCTCCCTTTCCAAAGGTGTGAACTATTTGTTTCCATTTCTGGCAAATTCCATGCTTTTTTTTTTTTCCTTTCCTTGGTGAGTTTTGAACTGACTTTGAATTAACTTAAAATCTGAAATTACTTTTTTCCAAGTTGACTTTATGGCTGCACTCACTTAGGAAATGTCCTATATCAAGAAGAATAGTGGGTAGAAAGAAAACTGAAGTTGATGTTCATGGTATTTTAGAACTAAAATCAAAAGAAAACATTGGAAAAGCTTTATAGCCACTTCTTGGTTGTTTTTTTTTGAGTTGGAAATTAATTTTTTTTTATTCAGACAAATATTTTAATAGCCTGTGATAATTTTTGCTTCCATATCAGTCCAGTATGAATAATCACAAGTGCTAAGGAAAAGTCTATCTGTGTAACAAGTTTAAAAGTCTCTGTTGTCTGTGTTTTCAGAGGTAAATGGTAATTTTCATTTGTATTCACCTGATATCAATTAAAATTCACTTATGTTTTTGGTCATTTAAAAACCTTTTCTTCTGCACAGCAGCTTCACTGCATAATTACTCCTGCTTTATCTCAAAATAAAAATGTGATATTTCAGGAAGGATTTTTGTTTCCATGTTCATTTTAGATTGTGCTGCTTTCCATGTGTTAAACTCCCCACTATGGAGAAGATTCCCTTCCTTTCAGAACTAGTTATCACTGCTACATCTGGTGTGTTTAAGATAATACACATGTGGTTTATGCCTGCTATAGACATATGATTTTAGTTATCCTTACCCTTTCTAAAGAAATCAATTTTTTTATAGGTCCTTGTTGCAACTACAATAATTATCCAGAATATTGGAGGTAAGAGACTTCATATGCTCAATATTAACTGTGTGACAGGCTTCAAAGCTCCAGAAGCACCAAAGGCAATAATTAAAGTGTTTTTAAGAAACTGATTGAAAGGACAGAAAATTTAAGGGAAAGGCTTTTGTGATGGTGCTAAGCAGAAGGGCTGTATTTGTGGGATAGATGGAGGAATTCTGGGGATTGGATTCCCTGCCTGTTTCTGCATGCCAGGATGGGAGCACATCCATTAGAGCTGCACTGCTCATTGAAAGGGGCTCAGGAAGCAGCATCTCCTCTCTGCTGTTCTCTACATTTGTATCTGGTAGCTGCATTTTATCAGCTCATGTGTTTTGGGTTTCTCTGTTGGAACCTGCTTATGCATTTTAGTGATTTGTGCAGCAAGTGAATGTTTACTTAGCTATGATGTTTCATATGTTCTGCATTAATGGGAGCTTTCTTTTTTTAGCTCAATAACTTGTTTTTTGGGGGAGTTGTTTATCTTCCTGACTTACATGATGTGGGCTGTCGACTTCCACTGTTCATATTTTGTCTTCCTTGGTACATGGCATAATAAAATAACACTCCCTGTTCCTGTACTTGAACTTTTACTCAGGCATGCTCACATGCTTGATAGTCACTAAGTATTTAGAAATTATTTGTGTGAAAGTAGACAGAACAATTTGAAGTCTAATAGAACAATTTTAATTTTTCTCTTATTGTAAATGTTTTGGATGCTTTCTCGTAAATGAAGGGATTATCTGAAAGCTCCCTGCTTTTTCCCTACCGCCAAGCAGATGCCCATGTTCACATACATCAACCAGAAGAAAATAGCATTCTGTTGTTGCTCTTCTTTCCTAAAAGATTGCCTGTTAAGTCTGGATAATTCAATGACTGCTGTTTTTTGTCACTGTGTAAACACCTAGAACTAGATAACTGTGCTTTCATGATAAACTTGGAATATTTTCTTATACTAAAAGTTCCAATATAATAAAGGCTGCCCAAATGAAATGGCTTTAAAAATCCAAGCATTAGTTTTAGGCAGGAGTGACCATAGCAATTCCAAGATTAAGGACTATTTATTCATACGGGTTTTAGAGGATGTTCTGTAGCAATGAACAAAGCTTTTCATTTCCTTTCCCATTTGAGCAGACCTCTAAATAAACAGTACAAGAGAAGGAGGGATACACAGAGCAGGTTCTGGAGATTCTGGGATCATGTACAGGACTCTGTTGTCAAAGGAAATATCACTCTCATTTCTTCCTTATCACAGTTCATAACCTTCTCTGTGCCATTCTTAATAAAATTCAGCTCAGTAACTCTAGAGCCCCAAACCAGTGCATGCAGTCCAAGTCCCCCCTGTCAGGAACCAGTTCTGAAGGTGACTATACTGGCTGTGCAGGCTGACAGGCTCCTAAAAAAAAAATAAGATATCAACAGTTCTCTTCACTTCTCACACAGCCTTGACTCTTAAACAACTGCATGGAAAGAAAAGAATTTTTCTTGTCTTTCTGGTCCTTCTGTAGATTTTACATGGGAAAACTGTGGAGTGTAGTTTGATCCCATCCTGAATGGGGATCCATGCTGGGATTAAGTGTAAAACCTGGGCTCTGCTGTTGTGTGTTCCCCTCTGTGTTTTTCTCTCTGGCTGAAGGAACCAGGAGCACTGTGCCTGTTGGGCAAATATCCAGACTCTGTCAACATCTTTGCTTTCAGAGGAAAGCTAAAAATAAAATTGTTTTGTGTTACCTCTTCCATCATCAGACCTGGGTTGCATCATACGGTATCTTATTTCAGAAGTGATTAGAGAGCATGAGATAAAGGAAGATGGCTTGTGATTAAGCAGCTTTATCAGGGTTATTGTCACTATCTGCATCTAGTCTGGGCTTTTTTTAAAGTTTGCTCTGATCTCTTCTATAAATAGTCTTAAGTGCAGAAGTGACTTACATTAATTTGTGATGGAGAGAACATTTTAGTAATAATTTTTATAGTTATAATTTCCAATTTGTCATCTTCGTGTTTTTTTAAAAAGAAAGCTTAATGTGAAAATTTAAATTTGACATTCTAATTGCATACACTTAGGGATTTGTGTAGAGGGGAATCGACTTTTTCTATTACCAGGTTACCCAAGGAAAAACATAAACATTTTGATACAGATGCAGGAAAGCATTGATTGGTCAAATTAAGGTTAAAAAAATTGATTTCAAGTACATTGTTTGGAATTTTAGCATGCATCTCTAACATGAGTACTCAACTTTTCCTGCAGACTTCTAATTGCCCTTTGAGAGGCATTTAATTAATCCACATAACAAAAATCAAACATCAGAATCCATTAAAGTGCCAAGATTAACTAAGGATGCACCAGGATACTGAGTTAACTTTTCAATATCCAAGTGTAAATTAGAGAAATTTTAATACCATAACTCAAAAGACTTCATAGGGTATGTGGGCTTAGAGTGACTGAACTTGGAGAACATTTGCCTTGCTTTCTTTGTAATGAGTAGGTTCTTGTTCTTGCAATATAGGAATTCGTCAATGAGGGAAAACAAAAGATTGAATGGGATGACCAGTGCTACTAATTTTTACATTCCATTTCTCAGTTTTTTGAACCATTCCAGCAGCCCTTTTATGTAAACAGCCAGTGCTTAGTTTCACATGAACTGCCTTGTTCCTGAAAGGGCTGGTTGGTGTGTGTGGGTGCAAAGAGCACATGGAAAAGGGAATTGCCAAACTGCACTTCCCAGGCTGTTCAGGTTTGTTCATCCACTCCTCCTAACCCTTTCCTGGCACACACATCTTTCTCTGGAGGGATCTTCCCAATGTCCATTTCTCACCTGCTGTAAAGAAGATCTTGAAGACTCCCAGATTGTGTCAGGTGCCCTCAAAGAAGGGAGAGAGCCCTTGAGGAATTGCAGGCCAGGAGATACACAAGGAGAGAGGGAGGCTGCTGCTGGAAATGCTGAGCTCCGTGGCTCTGCTGGCTCTTCATGCCATCCTTCCCAGGAGCAGCTGGAGTTGGATGGATTCCCTGCTATTGTTTAATGGTGTTGTGCTTCTAGGAAGTGATGGATGAGGCAAAGTGGGCCAAAGCCATGGCTGGGAATCACTCAGCCCTTCCCTCTCCCCTGCCAGGGAAGTTTTGTGAACTTCATAGGTGCTTTCTGAAGCAGGGGAAGAAGGAGGACAGCAATTTCTCCTTCTATAATTGTCCTTTCTGTGAATGTGACTAAAAAGGAGGACAGTCCACAGCTGTGTAGCCAAGAGAAAATCTTTAGTAGTCCTAAAGCACGTGTAATAAAGTTAGAGAAGGGCTGGTGGAAAAATGGAGACAAACACAATAAAGTATTGCACAAGAGCAGCTCTCAGCCCGTTGCCAACACTAACAAGTCCCAGCGCTGAGGTCTAGCAGGAAGCATGCGGAGTTTTCCAGCGTGCTTCCCAGGGCTGGGGCTGCCATCAGCTGAAGGTCACTGCTGGCTGAGATATGGCTGGGTCCAGAGGGCCTGGTGGCTGTGCTGCACACAAACATCAGTCCTGAGTGCTGAGAACAGGAGTTTAATCATTTAAAATTTATTAGCCGTGGGATTAAGTGCTGCAGTAGAACCTGCAGTACCACCACGTAGCTTAGGTGGTCTCTGTGAGGATTTTTGCAATATATTTTTTTTTCAGTTTCTTCAGATAACCTGCCTTGGCTTGTACCCAGGTTGCCATTGCAGTCATTCTTTGGAACTAAACTTTCCTGACAGCTATCTTAATTTTACAAATAATTATTTGTTTTCTCCTATAAATATGGTTTAATTCAGTGTGATTTCTATAACTGGTGCTTTTTGATTTTTTATTTCCATAGTCTGGAGATATGTGTCCTCAAAGGTACACACTTTTCTCCTTTGTAGGAATCAGTAAGGAGGAAAAAATCTCTTTCAGTATCCCTGGAGCGATTTTTATCCTCAGCACTGCTGGAATGCTGCAGGCAGTGACTGGGAGCAACAGGATTTATACCAACGGGTGATGCTGCTCTGTAGATTTTATGGCCTGTTAATACAGTCAGGGTGACAGACAATACACAGAGACCCTGCTGTGAGTGTAAGACACCCTAAATATGCATATACAATTGCATGGTTTGTATTTTTCAAGCATCCCGGAATCAATTGAGAGGCGTAGCCGCTGTGTGAAGCAGATATTTTAAAGAAGCAGCACCACCCTCTGCTGGCCTGGGCTGCCTTCCCAGGAGAGCCACCAGCAACCCGACATCTCAGGAACCTCCAGCTTCTCCTGCTGGGTTCCACATCCCCTCCCCTTTGTTTTTCTGAGGTAAACAGTGAAATATTTAACTTACCTCCCCCCGCCATGTAAATATATATATATATATATATGTGTGTGTGTGTGTGTGTGTGTGCTTTCTGTGAGTGCCTGCCTAGAGGTGGTGTGCAGAGACTAAAAAACCCTCTTTTGTTAAACTAATTGGGCATTTTTTAATTGCAAATTATTTTCCTTTGTGTTTTTCTTTATTTTTTCTCCCCATTCCCAAGTTCATCCATTCTGCAGTTTAATTCTAAATGTGTTTGCAAAATTTGTTTCAAACTTAAATAAAGCAAATGTTTTTTCAGACTGAGGGGGCAGATGGGAATAACCTTTGTGTAATCAGCGAGAACAATACTCCAGAAACTTTGAAAATGAATGAATGGTGCAAATCACGGAGGAATAAAATAAAATGCAGCTTTTTACATGCTGAGACCTGCATCCTTAATACCTTAAGAAATTACTGTGGTTCCTTTAAGTATGGGAAATCTAATTCTGTTTTCAAACAAACACAAATGTTTGTTTTCACAGTGTGGTTTACTTTTGACCTGAAAGCCTAATTATCCTGACTGATTCAAAGTGAGGATTTCCAGTGCAGAGCTGCTTTAATTAAGGGCAGGTTTGTCAGCTCCTGTACTAATTTAACAATTGATGACCCATGTTCCTGTGTTTTCCTATTGCAGTTCTTGGGAAGTTTGATATTGTAAAGAATATTAAGCTTGCTTTAAGTAATAGGAAAAGAAAAATAAAATAAATACCAGCCTGCAGCTGTACTACAGAATGGAATATGTGATGAGCTATGTAGGAAACTTTTCTATTCATTTAGCAAAAATGTACACTTATACCTAATGAATTTTTACCAAAATAAATCAGTGTGTTCCTTGTACAATAAGAAGGATTTTTAATTTATTTTTTTAAGCTTGCCATAGGTAAGTTCCAGGCTAATTCAGGTAAAAGCTAAAGATAGAAGGAAAAGGAAGCAGGGGAGCAGAAATTCATCAGGGTGGGTCTCCATAGTAGGAAGACAAAGAAATTGACAACCTGTTTCAGTTCTTGGAATTTCTCCATATGAACAAGGATTACCTCTTCTGTCACACACTCCATTCTACATCTGTATTTAAAACCAAATAAATTATCCCAACATTCTTTTTTTAAGCTTCCACTAAGAGGAAATATTAAAGCCAGTACCTGCCCTCTCTTCTCCTGTGGGAAGTTTGGAGGGGAGCTTGTTTCCATCTTTGCACAGTGCTTAAAAAGGCAAGACATCTTTATAGAGCTCTAATATGATCATCTACAGTGGTAGATGAGGAAAAGCTAACCAGAAGAGTCAGTCCCTTCAATGAAATGATTTGAAAGGATTTATCACCATAAATTCTATGTTTACTTATAAGTTTATTTTACATTCTCTGACATCCTTGCTGTGGCCTTCAGCACTTGGTCTCTTTTTGGATAGGATAATAAGGAAAAGTTACACTTTTTTTCTGCTAACCAAACAGCCACCCACATATTTTAAGTTTGGGCTACCTCAGAAGAGGTGTTTTGGGAACTATTTAAACAACCTTTTCTCAGATAGGGGCACATATGCTTAGTGTTAAGCAATATTGGTAGCACAGCACAGACATTCTGAACAATGTATGCATGCTGTGTGTATTTATAGAGAGGCACAGCTCATGCTGGCACTGCAGGCTGTAGTAATGGAAGTGTAAAGCAATTGTTCTATTTTATATTTTAATAAAACTTTTCGTTTTTTCTGTCAAAGAGCTAATACCAAGTTTTCAGATCATGGCAAAGTGATAGGTATTTTAAGAGCAATATTTCTTACTGTGTACAACACAGTGTAAATCTACAGAATAGTAAAGTGATAATTATGATTTCTGCTGAGTTCTGGTGTGTAAAGGCCTGTTGAGAAGTTCAGAACTGTTCTCCATCAAGTAGCTCTTCGTGCATACTGAAAATTACCTAAAACTAACATAATACATGCAAATTCAGAGCCTGAAAATTAGGAAGTGACCATGTGAAGCACGTAGTTCTAGTTCAGCCCTTGTGGCATCCCCCTATTGCTGCAGCCTCAGGCTAGGCCATTGGACACGGATTGTTCTGTAGGAAACCTGTGTCCCTCTGCTGGAACAGGAGTCAGTATTTCAGAGTGGGGTAAATCAGAGCACAAGGGTGTGCTTTTTGTTGTGTTCACTTGTGACACAGCTCGGTCTCGTGGCTGTGTAATCTCTTCCTTCCGTTGCACATTAAGGCTGCCAAGGAGAGCTGAGGTTTGATTTGTGCAACACACCCTGACGTGGCTTTGGGGTGTCAGGGAAGTGAAGTACACATTGGTATTTGGAGCAAAGGGTATGTGACATTTTGTCTGTCACATTCCATGCTCTCCATTCCTCACGTAGAAAAAGACTGTCACATTGTTCTAGTTTTCCTTGTTTTAGTTTCATCTTTAAAAAAACAAACAAACCAGCCATGTTCTTTGCTCACTTTGTAGTGTGTTGCAGTTAGACTGTGGTTTGTGTCTTCATGCCAAGTAAAGCTACAAGGAGTTGTTTCTCCTGAGGAAAATTAAAATTGTTTGCAAAAGAACTAAATGCAGGCTTTTTAAACTGTATTAAATATAGGCATCCTGCTCAGATGCATGCAAAATATTCAGGTCTTGTTTAAGCATATTTAAGCATGTTTTAAGATATAAATAAAATTATTTAATATTCATTATTCATTTTGTAGAACAAACAAGAGAATATAAAATATTCTAGTATGTGAGATTGTTTCCCATATGCCCATACAAATGTTCAGCATGCACCAGTTTCTCAGTACAGGACTGGCTCCCTCCTTAGGAGTAGAATTCAGTGAAATAGGACTCCTCAAAAACAAAGAGTGAGCAACAAAGGATAAGCGATCAAGTGATTAGCCAGAGGCTGATAGGAATGCAAGGGCAGAGTGACAGATTGCATATTGGAGGAAATCTGATCTGGAAATTAATTTGAAGGTTTCTGCAGTGGAGACTGCAAAAGAACTAGTTTGAAATCTTTCTGAAGGACATAAGTATATGAAAATTCTGACCTGCTTGTGTATAAAGTATCATACAGGAGAGAAGGACAATGGATACATAAGGTTGAATTGCAATTTAGAGGAATTTTCCTTTCCCTTCTCCCCCACTTAGTCTTTTTAAAAAATTAGAATGAAATATGCAGCTGCCTGCAACTTAGCATGAAAAAATGGGTTAATTTACTTACAAATTCTAGTGACTTAGAAATACTCATGCTGTAATTTTCTCTGGTTGAACCTACATTCTGTTGGAGGAGAGTAAATCAGGACAGCAGATGAATACCTCAGCACACACAATCAACAGCTACATGTCACTAAATATACATAAATATTTGAAAAAAACCATAGGTTTTAATTATGAAGAAGTGAATATTATTATTTAGTGACTTACCAAATGGTTTTAATTTAACCTTGTGGTAGGTAGATGTCAGTTTGTATTAATAAAATTTTCCTTCTTTATACGGACCACCTTACCCTTTCTTCAAAATTTAACAGTAACTTTTGTAGTACAGCAGTGTCTGAGTCCATGTGTCTTTTCTTTTAAGATTCAAAAAAATTGTCAAATAATAAAACCCACACTAACTTATTTAAATATCAGCTTATGAAAGTTTGCTGGTTTGCCTTTTCAAAATGTATGCTTTAATTGTAAAGCATGAATAAATAGACCGTGGTAAAATTCTAAAGAATTACTGAATACAGAACAGTAAAATTTGAGTAAAACAGATGAATTTTTGTCAGGGACTGAATATAATTAAGCTTTTACTGACACATTACTAAAATTACTTGCTGCTGCAGGATGGAAATTAGTTTCACATAGGCTTTGATGCTCATTGAAGCTGTTTGTAAAGCTTGATTTTTTGAGTAATTCTCTGCTGGTTACATAAAAAAACATGAACAGTGTGTGAAGGTATCAGACTAGTATAAATTGGGATTTAAAAACCTTCTCATGCATTCCTTTGATCACAGTTTTTAGTGAAGGAGAAAAGTGATGCTGTGAAGAAGGTTTTGGATTGCTTTCTGCTGAATAAAATTTAAAAAAATTAATTCCAAGTCAATACTCCTGTAAGAGTAGCTAATAATTTCTCTTCTGCTTCACAGTTCCTGTACAGTTCTTCACTTGTAATTATTGTTGGGATCTTGGTGGTGATGGATTTATCATGAGAAGCAGGGATCTGTCACTGATAAACCTCTTAGCTCTGAGGACCAAACCTTGCAGTATATAAAAAAAACCCCTTAAAGTCATATACTTGTGTTTGAATTTCTGTCTTATATTTTAGTACAACAGCAATTGAACAACTATCAAAACAGAGTCTTTTAAAAACCCTACTGTATTGAGAGAAACAAATATTATTTACTGTCATCATGAATAATGTCTCATAAAGAGGAAGGAGGAGTGCTGCAGCCTTATAGTCCGTCTCTGGCCTGTAGGTCTATATTCCCAGGTAGAAGGGCAGGCCTGTATATGATATTATTTTGCCTTTTAGTCCTTTGGATTATGTTTTCCTTGTTTCAAGACTCACATTGTAAGAGTCTCTTTGGAGGCATTAGCTGACATCAGTGCAATACTTGCAGCTATTTTTAAAGGAAGTATATGAGAAAATAAATTCTGGTTCTGGTGCCGCGGTGTCTCACGCGGAGCTGAGATGTTCCAGGCGTAACCCCGCCGGTCCAGCCGTGCTGGCTGAGATGCTGCTGTTCCTCTGCTAAATCTGTCCTGCTTCTGTTTGCAGCCATGTCATCTTATCTGTTAATTGTGAAGTCTGAACTTCCTGGGGCTGTTGCGGGGCTTTTGAGCGGAGCCGAGAGTGGGTAAGGAAAAATGCTCGTGTGTTCTGTGTTCGTTGTGAAGAAAAAAGGGGCTCAGCACTGCTGAAAGAGATGGGTACTGACACTTCTCTGATCTCACATGTGCAAATAAATAGTCATTTACATGAGTTGTTGGAATATGAAATGTACTTGGCAAGTCTTTTGCAGCACACACACACTAAGCGTGATTCTTTCCTCATGGCAATTTCCCGTCCTACGACCTTAAAGTCAGTGGCAAAACTCCATTTACAGGAATCTCCCTTCTGTAATATTTTAAAAGGGGGAGCAGGAAGGTACTGGGAAGGAGAGGAGAAGAAACATTTCCACTGCTGTCATGTTTGCACTTCACATAATTCAAAATCACAGTACAAAAAATGGCAGGCATTTATATTGAAATATTTTGTTGTCTTGCTCTAGTAATTGGACTTGTCTTGGGAAAAATGCCAGGTTTCCAGACTTGGTTTATAATTCCTAAAGTTGGCTCCCAGTAAAGAAGTTATTTTTTGCAGTTGAGCTGTAAAGCTGTTTGTAAGGAGTGTGTCCCTCACATTTCCATCGGAACTGTCACAAGAAATCTGAGGCAAACACTGCAGCTTCAGCACTGAAATATCTTGTTTGAGTTGTTCCAGTGTTGCTGTCATTCATAAAAGTGTATCTTGGAGTGTATTACTGTTTTTCCAAACTGCTATTTTCAGATGTTTTGAGCTGAAAACTTGCTCTGGATTGAAATGTGGTGAAATTGTCTCAAGGCTGTGTGATGCTTGTATTATTCCTGGATGTGGTGGGTGAATTTTAAGTAGGAAATCAGATTTTTAAAGGGTACTTTAGTTGATTTTCCATTTTATCACTTACAACTTCTGGATTTTATAATGTGTTTGAAAAGTTAATTGTGGCTGTAATCTTGCTTTCTGTCTTTCTGCCCTCCTGGCCTTCACAGTTTTAGTAGGGTTTTTTGTCAGCTTTCTCTTTTTTCCTAAACTATTACGTTTTATGTATATATGTTATTTTTATTCTGCTAATGCATCTCTTCCAGCTGTGGTAGTCATCAGCCTTTCATTTGGGTGCTCTAACCTTCTCCTTCAAGCTCATACTTCAACCTCACTCTCCATACACAGTGGTGATGAGCTGCTGCTGTGTCTGCTGCATATGTTCCAATCCGTCCAGCCCCAAATTCAGCATCTAACATCTCTTTACAACTGGTTTTAATTTTATGTCAGCTCTCTTTATGCAAAGTGACTTTTCTTCCAGCAAAGATACACTTTGAAACGAACAGCTTAAGAAAACTCCTTGTAGGTAGAACCTGGAGGTACCCTGTGCTGCTCAAAGGGTTGTTCTGTCTGAAAAAGGCACTGTGAAAAGTTCTTCATTAAGGTGCCTGTGGGATAATGCTCCCAACAGCTTTGTCTGTCTGGGTCCTACCTCAGATCTGATGTGAGCTCTCAGACAGGTTACAGTGCTGAATTGCTTATTACAAATCACCTGAGCTGTTGTGATTCTCAGTCATCTGTCAGCTCTGCCAACACCCACACTTCTTCCTTAGCTGAAATTACAGTTGGAGATGGGAATGAAGTTCAGCTTGGCATTTAGAAAGAGCTGAGATTAGGAATCCTAACCACAGCTCCAGTACTTAGGTGATTGGCAGCCTGGTCTCATCTAATTTCTGCCTCTGTAAATTTGAGTAATTGCATAATCAATGTTTATTTTACACAATTTCCCTCCTCTAGTATTTGTCCTAGCAAATTGTTCAAGTGCAGTGGTAAAGCAGTATTCCAGGAACATGCACATATGCATGCCTACATCTATATTTAATTTCTTTTGCCATATTAATGGCTGTGGTAGATCATAATCTTTTATTTTCTGCGTATTTTTTTGCAGATATTAAGTGTACATTTTTACTAGCAGACATTTTAAATTGTAGGAAATTGTTCAACAAAAACAGGTAATCAAATACCAAGCCTAAGAAGTAGCTGATTTATGCAAAGGGCATAAATATTGAATAGTTTGATTCAACTTTTTTAGCTGGACCACTTGTTTCCAGATGGGATTGCACAACTGTTCTGTTTTTGTTAAGTCATTATGGCATCTGATACACTTTCATTTGGTGCAGAATTTATCTTAACTGTAGTTAGGATGTATCAAAAGTGTCAGTTAAACTATCTGTGAAAGTATTTTATATGCATAAACCCTCCTGAGCTGTACATTTGGGAAAGCCATTTAAAGAATGTTCTGTGCATTAAATTATTTTTATAGATAGAGGTTAGCAGGTGTGCATGTGTTTGAAAGGCTCAGAGCCAGTCTAACACATCCTCATGCCTTTTTAAAAAACAAAACCATACAATATGAACACTTATTAATATTGAGTGGAGATGGTTTTGTCTGCATAACAAGAATTCCACATAGTTTTGATGACATGAACATAGTTTCAAATGAGGATTGTGTTAAAAAGTTGTAATTTGTGAGCCCTCTGTTAACATTTAATGACCCTGTCAGAGGATGTGATTGATGCAATTAAGTTGTCTTGCTTGTGTGTTGTATAATTGATATGAACTGAGAGTAAGATCCTAATTTAGAACATATGAATATCTTGTTCTGTTGAATTCAGGAATGAAATTAAAGCAATTTATAAATGTCTGCTTTTAGTTAAAAAAATGGGGGTGGGAGTAGAAACATCTGCATACCAAAGCTTTTTCAGCAGAGTCAAGGATTTATATTCTGTATTTCATATTTTGAATGCTTTTATCATAGAGGATTAAATTTACGGATCAGATTGATTTTAAAGGCACTATCAAAACATTTATTCTGCCTTTGGAAAATAAGTGTATTTTTACAGCAGTACTTTGAGGAGAAAATGGACACATTTTGCAATAACCAGTCCACTATGCAGTTTGAGGTTTTTTTAAGTATAAAAATTGATATTCCAAAATGAAGCAATGTACAAAATTACTTTTTCTCCTTCATTTCCTCACTGCTGTTTTCCTCTCTGTTCCTCCCCTCACCCAGAAACATTTCTTCATTTACCATAAAGTAACCAAAATAATTTTCTGTCTGTTCTGCTGAGCTTGTGAGCCTTGGTGGCAGCTGTGGGTTTGCTGCCTGTTTAGGGTCAGGAGATTTAAACAGAGGTTCCACATCTACACATCATGCATGATCCTTATGTTCTCTGCCATGATGCTGTTCCTCCTAATCTGAACATCCACCAGACTGGAAAGAAAGGAAAAGTTTAAAAATATATGAATGCTAAATAATAACAATGTGAAGAATAAATGCTACAGCAAGAAGCCAATCTTGGCAAAGTTGCTTCTTCACTCTAGCAGTAGCAGACATAACTAATAATATACTTTTTGAAGAATGATGTATTTTGACTTGTTTTTAATATAGACATTGTCACCTAATGGTTGCTTTGGGTTTGATACAGTGAAGATGCCCTTAACCTTGAAATTTCTCTGTTTACTTACATTACATTTTCTTTTCAAACAAGTGATACAAATGGCTGTCAATGATGTATAGCAGTAGTTAATATACCTGTATGATAATTCTTCTTTAACACAGGTGTTATGGTACTTCCCTCATGATAACTTGAGGTGCTGCCTGTTTATTAGGTGCTAACCATATCCTGGACTAAATAAACTGGAAGGTCAAAAGTCAAGGTGTTTATAGGTGGTAAAGTTGGAGGCTGATGTGCAAGATGTTTATCAGTACAGGATATGGTTATTGCCAAGTCGGGGCAGCCACCCTCAAGATGTTTCTTTTACTTAACAACTTATCCATCTGTGCTTTCCTCACTTCAGAGATGGGATTTTGATGCTTCAAATAGATTTTAAATGTGTGAGGACTTCATGTGCCTCTACAGTGCTTTTTTAATGTGTGTGGTTTTATGTATAAACATTCTACCAGATTTCATCAGCACAATTTTTATCCCTTCTGTCCTTTACGTCTTTCATGGATGTGTGCAAGGAAGGGAAGCTCAGCAGTGAGTGGAAATTGATGTTGCTGTTTCTTCAGGTGTGTAAATATGCAGCTCATTGTAATCCAGTTTTAGATACACACTGCTATGTAAGTACTTCTGCTGGAAATCTGTAGAGTATGAAATACCCTCCCCTCTGACCATTGCTGTGAATCAAGGCAGGGATTTGCATATTGTACTGATGAGAAATATTAATTGGCACACATCAGGCCCCTGACCCATGCAGACACTTGCCTGTGGAACAGTGCTTGCAATGCTGGTTTCTTACAGAATGAAGCTCTCCTCTGTCATCATCTGGGAGTGCTGTTTTATATCAGTGTAGAAACTACAAGTACAAATTCATGTAAATAGCATGTGAGACAGGAAATTATTTTCTTCTTGTCCTAGTGGTTGCTTTGTCTAAGATCTCAGTTCTAAATTAAACGTATTTTTAGGACTCCTGAGCGTTGTATCAGTCTTAAATCAAATTTCCAACAGGTCTTGGTACCTCGATGGGAGACTGCTGCTGCTGCTTACTTCAGTCTGCATTGTTTTTCCTCTTGCCCTTCTTCCTAAAATTGGTGAGTAATTAAAGGAGAGAAGCGAATATTATTCTACTTTAGTAGCAATTACAGCTGAAGACTTTAAAACCTTAATGGGTTATTTATTTATTTAAACTGGCGGGGGGGCTGCTGGTGGTGGTGATTACTTAAGTTGTAGTGTGTTCTGCCTTCCAGCCCTGCCTAGTTAACCTATTACTTGGGTTGCAGTAGTATTTTGTCTGCAATACTAAAATAAAATCTTTACAGCAGAACATTAAAGAGCTGCATTTACTTACAGCATGCCATTAGTGGTAAGCCAGTTCTAATTCTGCCCTACAAAACTACATAAATGATCTGTGACAGGCAGTTGGAATGTTGTTATTCTGAGTCCTAAGCCCCAGATACCAAGCACTGTAATAGAAAACATGCCTAAAATGTAAAGCTTTAGCTGTACATTAGGATCACTTTCCTTATAAATTCTCTTTTATTTTTACTGTTATTTTACAGGCTTTCTTGGCTACACAAGTAGTTTATCATTTTTCTTTACGGTGTACTTTACTCTTGTGGTAAGTTAAAAATCTCTGCACAGTTTACCTTTTTTTTTTTTCCTTATTGTTTGAATGTTTTCATAGGCCTGTTTTGAAATTAATTGTCTTCCCCTCCCCCTCAATTTTTTATGTGAAATTTAGAATTTTCTTAAAGTTCAGTATGTGCTTGCTTGGACACATTGCATTTTTTTTGCTGAGGCTGGGAAATGTGTATGAACTTCCAAGAATGTGAAAAGAGTTAAAATAATTATATTTTGGGCTGGTAAATATAACAATTCTTTTTTCTTTTTTTTTTTTGCTGATGGTGCAGCAAAGGAAGGGAGCTGGCACATATATTTGTGTTTCCCTACTAGCAGAGGAATGGAATTCTGTTTTCTTAACTTCTAACTATTACTTACTACAACTAGTGCAGCAGAAAATTTAATATACTCCAAAATAAATTAAATTTACATGTATAATGGAGTGACAGAGTTCAGAAAAAGGCAAAGAAAACTAGAACTTCATTAAGGCAGTTTACAAGATTCATTAATACATCAATGACCTTATTCTCCTTTCCAGCTGAAAGGAAAAGTTCTTTTCTCTGAGCCATATGGGGGTTTTTGACCCTGATGTTCACCCTCTCAAGGCCCCTGTGAGGTAGATGTTTCCAAATATCAAAAGTGAGACCTGCTAGGCAGATCTAAGAGAGAAAATTTGCCTTTAAGTTGCACTTTTTTTTCTTTTTTACAGGGAAAAAGTGTATTAAAGCATATGTGTAATATGTGCTACAACTGAGCTACTCTCACTCTCATCTATTTGAATCTTATTTGGGAGCCTGGCAAAAATGTTCCCCCTCTGCCCTGTCATTCTGGCTTGCATTGACTTGCATTTAATACCTGTTTTACAAAGGGATAAACAGAGTTGAAGGCAAGTTGAACAAACATGCCATCCAGGAGACCAAGGCAATCCATTAGGAACTAAACCATGTGATAAAACCAAACTTCAAAGCTGTCAAAACATCTCCCTAGGGTATCCCTGGAGAGCTGCAGTGTTTGTAGGACCTTGGGAAGTATTCTTCTTAAGCTGAACACTGAGAAGCAGCCACAGCTTCTCCAGAGTTAATGGAAATTCATTTGTAATATTTATAAATTACCTTAACTTTTGACCTCTCTCCTAAAATTTATCTTTAAAAGAAAAAAAAAATTGGAAAAAAAAAAGGTAAGGAAAAGCACTAGCTATAATGCTGACATAGGCCTTTGGCTGAAGCAAGTTGCAAGGCTTTTAAAACCTGTTCAGCTCCTGGATTTCAAAGGGAATGTGTATGGATCTCTGAGGAAAGCTGTTGTAATGGGTGGATGCATTTGAAAACAACTTCAGTCTCTGAAAAAGCAAATGTATAAGCAAGAGTTGTGTGCAGCCATGCCAAGTTGGGATGAGTTAAACTAGATTTTAGTTTGTGATTCTCTATCAAAAAAGTGGGTAGAAAGTGCTAATGAAGGAGTACAGACTGCTGGATTTTTTATGAAATGGTTAAGTTTGAGTGCTCACTCTGTCTTGTTAAATGGCAAAGCAGCAGCCACAGTAAATCTAACTCGGGTCAAAATTTTTAAAAGCCGTTACGGATATTTCCAGAAAACCAATACTCTTGACAGAATATTCCCTTTGCCTTGTTCAGGCCCTGAAAGTCAAAGGCATTAAATGTGGTTTAGTTTTCATATCTAATTGCTTTGAAGTGGGTGATATGTGCTGTTGAAATGGTGTTTTAGTTTGCACACTGTTAATTTCTGTGTGGCAGATATGTTTTAATTTGTTCCAGAAGAGAACTGTGTTAGTCATATGGAAGTGATATAATTATATTTTGCATATACAGTAATTCTGTGCCTTTTCAAGTGCACACCATCTGTTCAGCTTTTTGCCAGCAAGCCACAATTTTACTGCAGCCTGCAGAAAAGAGACGTCTTGGTCAGTCTGGTATGGGAGTGCACTGAGCAAAGGGCTGGAGACTTCTTTGTTCTGGGTCTCAAATGTCCTCTCTGTGCCTCAGTAGCTCTTCCTTTAAAGCCAAAAAACTGGTTCTAGGCTTTACTTACAAAAATACTGCAAACAATGAGATGAGCTGATCTAGGAGAAAAACAAGTCTGTGTAACTATTAATTCAAAGCCTGATTCTCTGAGGTCCTGAGCACTTTTGTTGCTCAGTTGAATATTTCCCTGACTTGAATACTCAGGGAAAAGAAATTTTTTTGTTATTACCTCCTCTCTTGCTCTATTGAATATTGGTGAAGCGTAAAGACAGGCTTGTATTTTTATTGTGTGTGTGGAGACAGCATTATTGGTAGCTTGTTCAGCAGAGGTGTTAATGATTGCTGATGGTGTTTATCTAAATCTCTTGTTTATGTTCCCAGAACAAAACATGTTGCAGATTGGGAACCTGCCATATGCAATGAATGATGTTTTGCACAGACAGCTCCTTTGCTGAGTGCTGTCAGTACTGCTGGAATAAAGGCATTCTTCTTTTCCCTCTGCAGGATAACAAAAATCACTGAGAACACTTTATCTTTACCAGTGTTTTTGGTGTGGGCTTAAAATACCCTTTCTCCACTATAATCTCACTTGATTTTTAAGTTCTTTTCACTTAAAACCAAACGTTTGTTACACTAAAAAGAATGTTTAAATTAAATAGGCTTAAAGTTCTAGAGGAGGGTTGTGGTGCCTGTACAACTGCTCAGCTCACTGGGCTGTGCTGCCAGCTTAAAAATCCTTTCCTGTTGGGGAAACTCATTAGATTTCAACCCAAATACATTTCAATAATTAAACAGGTGGGAAAATATAAATACAGATCTTTTAAATGCACCTAGTACATTTTATTTTGTCTTCTTTTATTTCCACTTCAGTCTGCTCTTAATCTGTTTTACATTTATTTTAGAAAAATGTTCTCCAGCCTTTTAGGTTTGGCTTGTCTGCTCCTCCCTCTGCAATGTTTATATATATCTTTGCTCTTTAGCTCACAGGAAAACTTCCCCTCACCACTGCCAGGCACATTTTACTTTCCCCAACCTTGCCCTCCAGCTCCATGTCCCTTTGCAGTGCCTATTCCAGCTTTAGACTGGAGTGGGGGGGTTCCCACAAAGCTGACTACACTGGAGCCTTCAAAGCCTTCCTCTGTCTGGGTGCCTTTAAATACAACCCAGGCCCAAATAATATTTTAGTGTTTGGTGTTTGCAGGCTGCTGCTGAGCAGGCTCCCACCTAGTTCCATACCTAGAGTGAGCTGCTCTTGTGCAGTTTAAAATGTGTTACTGCCACGGTGCACTCAGCCTGCCCTGTACCCACAGTTTTCTTTCCCCACATTTTGGCCAGAGGTAACATTTGTTTGCCTCTCCTGGCACTGGTGACAAGAGGGAGCATCTAATCCTCTGGGAAACACCACTTGGCAGCATGCAAAGCACAGCTCTCTGAGCCAGGAGAAGAGCTCCCTTGCATGTTATTCTTCTCGTGAATCTGAGTCTTTAATTAAGTTTTTAATTATTTGCTCTAGGCTTCCAAAGAATTATAACCTCTAAAGCCAGGCAACTACAATAGGAAATTAATTAGGGTGAGGAGAGCAATGCAACTATCATTTTAAACTGGGCTCCTGAAAAAGGAGGTAACATTTCTTAGTTTAATTTCCCTTTGATTTTCAGCCCTGTTACTTGGCAGTCCCTAAAGCAGCAGGGTGTAGCTGAAGGCCCAATGACATTCTGGGACAATAATTGCATTTATTGTTTTTCCTTTGCTTTCTAGTCCAAACCATATGTTTCTGCCTTTTAAGATTAGCCCTAGGCTCTGCTCTATCTCTGTTGAGGGCTTGTGCGCTCCGGGCGCGAGCCTGGGATCGCTAACGCAGCAGCAATTCCGGCCGGGAGGCCCTTGGTGTGGAGCCCAGGGAGAGTGGCTGGGGAGTGCTGGTTGTATTTCAGCTCATGTCAGAGCCCATTGCAGTGCCCCACCTCCAGATCCTTGGGCCATAAGGCTGCCAGCTGTGCAGGGCGAGCAGCTGGGTGGAATGGCACTGACAGGCTTTTCTGTCCAGTCTCCTTCTGGTGGCCTGTCTGCCAGGCAGGCCTGGTAATTTACTGGGGGTGTAGCTCCCTGCTGTGTGTTCCAACAGGCTGATACTTCAACTATGTGTATCTAAATTGAAAACTGATTTTTAGGATATCATTCATACATGAAATATGCTGTCTCTGCAGGTTATGATTAAAAAATGGTCGATCCCTTGTCCTCTACCTCTGAGTAGTGCCGTAGAGACTTTACAGGTAAAGTGCATGCTGGTTTGAAGTTCTAATTTTACTAGTAAACTGTAATGCTTTATTTACATTAACACTTTCAGAATGGCTTGCAATTTAAATTCCTTCTTTTATTAATCATCACAATCTGAAAAGTTTCATGTCTGTGGTTTGGGCTTATTCTTTCATTATGCCTTTTTTCTTTTTTTCATTTATGTTTTGCAGGTTTCCAATTCTACTGGGGATTGTAAAGCAAAGCTCTTTCATCTTTCAAAAGAGGTAATCTCTATTAACAATACACAAACTTAAAGGGGGGTGGTGGTTTTTAAAAAATTGGGGTTTAAACCTTACCTAGGGTAAGCTGTCCCTGTGTAAAACTCGTTATGGGCTGCTGAAATATTTTCTGTACCTGCTGCCAAGTGTTATCCAGTCTCACTTTTTTTTTTTTTTTGTATGAGAGCTGACTGTCCAAGTTAGCATTTATGAAAATATTTTGGAAATATGACCAAAGAAGAAAGTATAACAGATGGAGCAGTGGTCAGCCTCATCATGCAATCAGATCAAGCCAACTTAATATGCCCTCAGCAGGAAGTTGGTGCTACTTGGCTGTGTGCTCTTAGTTCCTTGCAGGGCAGAGCAGTGACATTGCCTGGACCTAACCTTAGTTTTCCCTTACCTGAAGTGGATTCTTCAGGCCTGATGCAATCTTGTGCATCTCTTGGGTGCCAGCTCTGGTATTTGTTAGTTAATGTGATGTTTAAGTCATATAACCACCCATTAAGACTTGTGGAAGAGGAGATGCCATGTAGAATCCTGGTCTCCGTGGGGTGAAGAGGAAAGAAAAAGGGTAAATCTGGGATAGCCCTGTAGTGAGATTTAGGATGGATGTGGCAGCATTTGTCTGAAAAAACAAAAGTCCATCCTACTTCCCCCAAGATTTCAGCACAAAAGTGTTTGCAGTAGTTCAGCTTATTCTACTTGGCAATTACAGTAAGCTGTACTAGATGACTCATCGCTTTTATTACAGATTTTTAGAATAATACACCACTAATCGTGTGGCTGCATCTTTAATTACATAACTGTCTTAAAATTTAAGATGCCAAAGCATGTTATATTTTCTGTTTTATCCAAATTTTTCTGAAGGAGTAATGCAATAGTGAGGTCAGGGTAAAGGAATCAGTACTTTGACAAATAGCCATGGATATTAGAATTTGGAAAACTTCTTAGAGAATTTCACAAATGATACATTGGCTCTGGGACACATCCTGCTCTTTCTACATAAGTACTTGGCTTCAGTATAGTCAAAAAAGAATCTTCCAGTTTTTGGCTTATAGGCAGCATGACTTCTCCTGATGATGAAACTGAGCTATGTCCACTTGAACTTACTTGACTTGAAAAGGTTGAATTTTTGTGAACTGATTCAGAGACACAGTTTCTGCCTTGTGAAGATTTATCTCAAAGTATTCATCTGGAAATATTTCCACTGACTTCCAACACTTGAACTGAATTCTGAGTTCATACAGATATTTTTCCAACCAGTAATAACAGCAAGCAACTTACAAGATGTTTTCTTTCAGAGTGCGTATGCAATACCAACTATGGCCTTCTCTTTCCTGTGCCATACCTCAGTCTTGCCAATCTATTGTGAGCTCCAAAGGTAATGTATGAACACATGCAATATTAAAATATAATTATAACCATTCTTTGCAATACTTTCTCCAAATTTATCCAGAGTAATTTTTGATTTTTAAGTCAGTGCCATAAAACATTGCAGAATGAGGAGCTTTCATGGTTTTGGAAAATGTAGTTTTAGTCTGTACTGGCTTTTTCTCTCTCAGAGGGGAGGAAAGTAGCAAATGCGGTTCCATCATCAATGTCAGGATATTGTCCTGCCCTGGACAATTGGAGAAAAAAAAAAAGGTAATTTGCTAAGGTACTTTAATAGTCAGTTTTTATGGCAGTAACTTAATCTGCATTTGGCCATATCTGATCCAGTGAGGGTTTTTGACAGATTCTGTTCCTGGCTCTGAATAGGCATCATCCTGTGTAAATCCCAATTTTCTTTTAAAAGAAACACTGGGATGTCTGAATTCCATACATGATGGCAACAGTGTTAAATTGTCTGCTTGAAAAGTATCCTTTTAATTACCAGATTAAAAATACTTTTAAACCCCTTAAATATCAGTGAGAGCACAGACATCAGCAAATGCTCAGTGGCCTTAAATTAGGCCAGTACTTCCTTATTAAAGGCAAGGTGCTATATAGATTGTGCTGTGTTTAATCATCCTCAATACAGATAAAACAACACTGATTTCCTTTTCTTTTTCCATTTTAGTCCATCCAAAAGGAGAATGCAGAATGTAACTGTCACAGGAATTGGTCTGAGTTTCCTAATTTACTTCATGTCTGCTCTCTTTGGGTACCTGACATTTTATGGTAAGAGTATTCTTCAAATATTCCTTAGAGCAAAGGTTAATGATAAATGGTTAATGTCTTCTGCTTGGGATGCTTCAGGCATTAGTACACTTGAACCCTCAGATTTTAAAAAATCAAAAGGATAGGCTTTGAACTGGGTTTTCCAGCACATGCAGATCCTGAGCCAGAAATGTGTCTGTTTGATACATGAACTGAAGCAAGAAGTGCACATTCCTTAGAAATGTTGATATTTGGTGAAGTAGCTGTACCTTTTTGTTACCAGTCAGAAGAGTGGGTGGGGTATCACACTTGGCCTACCAAATTCTACAGGCATTTTCATTTGCCGTAGAGTTTAGGTGACAGCGTGCTGCAGTACCAATTTAATTACTCTACATTTGCACTTGGAAATACTTCTGGGTACAGATTTTTAGTAGAGTTTAAACATAGATGACTTCTTCTGTCTGGCATTCTTGTACTTCCCAAGTGCACAGAAAGATTTCAGACCCCTTATCTACACAGTGGCCTTTTTTAAAGGTCCATCACAGCCCTGGCAGAGGTAGGTGAGTGTTTGTTTCATACAGCAATGATAACACAACTGGTTTATTGAATTTCCTCTACTTGCTGATTCTGTTGTAGTTTCATACCAGTGCTGTCACATAAATGCATCGCAGTCATCCATGAGGATCCTTCTGATATCTTCTGGAAACTCATTATTATGAGATGATCACATGCTAATCTTCATTGATTGGAATGAATAAAAATTCTTACAGGAGACTGTAAGGCAGCAAGATGAAAGTTCTGATTAGGATTTTCTCTCCTTTCAAGTGTTTTATAATTCTTGATTGTGAGAATGAGATGGTGGCTGACAAAACACCATGAATATTGGCTTTCAGCATCTAATAGTTCCAGATTTTTAGGGACTTCTGTACCTTTTACCCCCAAGTGTAAGCATGTCTGAAAATATTCCCTAGATATCCAGAAACCTTAGAAAAATTATATGGGGGGAGGTGGTCTCAAAGGCCCTAATAGTCTACTGGCCACTATTGCTGTTTCCTGACTGTCTCCATGAGGTTTGTTGGAGAACATAAATTTAAGTGCAGCTCAGAGAGGTTCAGTAGGCAGTGCAGGGTAATCATCTGTCCAGATGAAATCTTAATAAGAAGGGGGAGGGAAAAAAAGAGGAAAGAAAAATAGTCCTGGAAGCCATCCCAGTTCCTGTTACCTTTACTGCCATGATTTCTTTGGGACCAGACCCTGTCTTGACTGAGGCCTTTCAGTTTGTTTCACTGGGAATGCTTTTGGTTTTCTGCAGGCTTGATTTCTTTTAGTAACCCCAAGACTCAGGAGCCTGAAATGCTGGAATCAAGAGTGGGTGTCTCTGTAAGAGAATTGTTTTGTTTGTTTGGTTTGGTTTTTTTCCCCTTGGAAGCTGCTTCTCCTTTTCACTTTTTGGTTGTCTTGTTTAATTAACTTACTTCTTTAAACAGAGAAAGTCTGTTCCCTGTTCCTAAAACACCAGTCTGAGAAAATGTAAAACATTTTATTTTAAATTGGAAACAAAAGAAGAGTTTCCTCTTTGAAATGAGGCATGTTTCATCTCTCTGTGGTTCACATGGTTTCTTCTGTTTTCTGTGAATTTGAAACTTCACAGGGTGACCAGACTTTGAAAATTTCAGTCCATTCTGAAGTCCAAAAAAACAGAGTTAAGATTAAAAAAAAATAAATAAAAAAAAAATCAGGGTAGCAGACCACTCTCAGTGCTCTGAATTTTGCTGTTAAATTTCCTCTTTTATTTATGCTGTTTCCTTCATGTTTGTGTCTTTTCTTTAGGCATCTTTTGCTTCAGCAGAGGCTCTGCCTGGTCTTGCCTCCTGAAGTTTCTCATTTCCCTGAAGATTTTGCATCCTAGTATATCAGTAATGCCAGAGTGTATCTGTGTCCCCCAAAAGATGGATCCATTTGAATCTCACCTTAATATTCTTTGCTAATTACCTTTGCTTTGCAGTGATTAAGAAAGCAATCAATTTGTCTTGTTTTCAGACAGAGTGGACTCTGAGCTGCTACAAGGTTACTCCAGGTACCTGCCCCATGATACCATCATCATGACTGTGAGAGCAGCCATTCTGTTTGCTGTGCTCCTGACAGTCCCTCTAATCCATTTCCCAGTGAGTATTCCTGAGAGCTCTGGAGCTGGCAGTGAGCACTGGTCACTAATGTTTTGCAGACTGCAATTCTTGAGTCACATCTAGTTTTGTGTATCTTATTCACTTGTCAAGTGATTGATCAAAGACCACATATTTGCATATGTTCCATGAAAGCTCCAAAATAACAACTAACCACTAAGCTAATTTGTGCTCTTGAGACAGATTTCAGATTAAAACTAGCCCACAGCATTGTTTTTAATTTAGAGAATTCAGAACTTCCAAAGTTTATTTAGTTTGATTTTTTTTTTTCTCTTAAATTGAGTTTTGCTGACTTGGTTTTTCCTTTCTACATGCACGCACCCACACACAAACACACTTATACTTGAAACTCAATTTAGTTGTAAATTAAAAACACATACAGACCTATTTCACAAAAAAAAAAACAAACCCAAAACCCTAGTTTGGCTTATCAATACTGTGGTAGAATTGAAATTCATTCATTTAGGACCAAAAATTGTGCAGGCAAAACTCTGTGCATAGAAGCACTGTATAGATTATGTATCTGTTGGCAACATGCTGACATTTGCTACCAGGCATTTTCAAAGAAACAAAGCACTATCCCCCAGGCCTTCTTTTGTCTCTCCAAAAAAGGAAAGGACCAGTAATTTCTTAAGACTAATGGCCATGTGATAAATCTTGCTTTAATACAGTAATAAATTACATTCTACACTACAGAAAGACAAAATATTAAACTATTACTAAGCTTCTGGCATTCTGATTTTTAAAAGGCTCTTTCACATCTGGAATGATGTAATTCTTAAGGTTATGAAATTGAGATAAGATCAAAAAATATGTGTGTGTCTGTATGTATTTACCCACACAATGTTTGTCTTTGTATTGTGTAGGCAAGGAAAGCTGTGTTGATGGTATTTTTCTCTCATATTCCTGGGTCGTGGATTTGCCATATCCTTGTCACCTTAACACTGAATGCAGTTGTTGTTCTGTTTGCAATGTACGTGCCAGACATTAAAAATGTATTTGGAGTGGTTGGTAAGTTCTTGTGGTGGTTGGTTTTCTTGTTTTTTATTTTAACTTCAAGAAATTCATATATGATTCAGCAATGTATTTCAGTATTCTCTAAACAAAATCTTACTTTCTGGTTTTTAAAGGTTCAACCACATCAACATGTCTGCTTTTTGTATATCCTGGACTATTTTATCTTAAACTTAACAGAGAGGACTTTATATCACCACAGAAACTTGGGGTATGTTTTCTGTTTTTTCATTTGCACTAATAATATTTAAACAGGCTCATTTTGAATGCATTTTAATACACAGTGGAGCACACAATGCGAGGGGCAGAGCTCTTGTTTTCATTGCAGCTCACAAAATCTCTGAGCATTTTCTTTCATCCTTCCTGGTAGCTCTGGTCTTTCTGAAACTCCTTCTTCACCAGAGGTTTTTGGCAGGCAATGTGTCCAAGTACTGGACCATTGATCTGAGTATGTGCTTTTCTCTATAGTTTTCAGATGTTGACTTTTAATCCAGTTTCTGCTCAGTTTTTTCCTGTTTTGTGCTTGTTTTCTATAAAAGACTTTGTAAATTTTTTTTTCTTTCTTTGGTTAAGATCTGGGTTGGAGTTTGTGCAGGAGCCTGCTTTTTGCACTGCAACTAAATGTCTTCATTTTAACCATTGCTCAGTGGAGCAGCTTCATGGCAGCAGCCAAAATGCTGACAAGCTGTTTATGCATAGTATTTTTGCCATTCTTATGATTCATGGGGCTGCTCCTGTATTGACAAAACAGGGAATCTGAAAGAAAATCTAATAATGATGCTCTCTGACTGTCTAAAGTCATGACTAGTTCCAGCAGATTTGGGGGCTTTTTATAAATCAGCAAGCTGCAGTTCTTGAACTGCAGTTTTGTTAACATCTGACTATTCAAAAATGTAAGAAATCCATTGTAATTTTAATTGTATTTTGAGTAAAATAGGAATAAGTTTCTCAATTTGTTTAGAGTTGTAAAGGGCAAATTATTTTTTGTGCAGCTGGATAGTGTGAGCAGGGAAACCAGACTGTTCCAGGCGCTTCCAGTGAAACTCCCAGGCTTGGTTTCGTTTCCCACTAAGCAGATACTTTGTGTTTGAAGACTGAGTAATTTGAAACATTACAGATAATTTTAAGATACTATTTATACCTGTTCTTTTGCACTCTCATAAGCCTTGGACATGTAAAATGCTTCTTTCAGCAAAACATTAATTTTTCCTTTTCTTTCTTCACAGGCATGTGCCTTGGTTATTTTTGGCATTTGTCTTGGCCTTCTCAGTTTGGTTCTAATAATTTTCAATTGGGTTGCTCAATAACAGCTATTGGCACTGTCTGAACTGAGCTTCAGGAGGACAGCAAGAACCAGGGAGGTGCCAACACTGCTGCAATGAGTGCTGGGCATCCTAAAGGAACACTGACCAAAGCAGCCAATGGAAGAAGTAATGCTCTTTTCAGCTCCATTACTGATGGTCCTTCTTTGAGTCACTCTCTTCAGTTACTGGACAATTCTTCTTTGCCATTCTAAAATATGACTTTTTGATGATGTAAAAATGACAGATAAAAAGGTCTTGAGAATACCTGCAATGCAAAAATGGTTTAGGGTACATGGTGAACAAAGCAGAAACTTGAAATAACTTGTCCTTTCAAGACAGCAAGGTGAATAGACATTACATCAGTCTTTTTCTGCATAATGTGACATATACACATAAGATAATGCACATTGTCCTAATCCTTGAAAGACTGCTGTTGCTTAATTTCCAAAATTTCAGCCAGTTCACATTAAGAACTTGTTGATTCCAAGTGTTTACCCTAATTTATCCTAAGATGGATCCAGAGACCAACTGCCTTAGCTCAGTTTAATGGGCATGTCATGATAATACTTGTTAATTGTTTTTTAAAATACAGTTTTTCTATATCAGCACACTTGACTCATCCTGATGTAATTTTCAAATTAACAAGCTTTGCCCATCAAGCATAATAGCTTTTAGTAGCATTTCATTTTGGTGTTTTCATTTTGCAGTTAATAATAATAAATTTTTCAGTTTATATCTGCTTTTGAGTAGTACTCAAAGCACCTCAGTATTCCTCCAAGTGATTATTCTCTTTTTCTCTCTTCCCATTTTTACAAATGTTTCAGGTTTCAACTAAAGTGGTTCTATATTTTATGTTCTTTTCTGTGTCAGAGAAGATTTGGTCTTAGAAGATGAAAATCTGCATCAGTTGAAAACAAGGGGAAAATTTATTTTTATGGAACCCTAATTTTATCTCAGATGTCTATGAACTTCCATGTAGTCTTTTATGATTCCTTTTTTTTTAACCCCCTGAATGAGAATGCAATTTTCAACACCAACAGGGCTTTTTTTGAGATGGTCTTTCCCACAAGAAAAGTTCCTTATTTTAGTAGATTGAAAGCAGTGGCTGAGATCAAGGTGAGGTTTTTAGCATTTGCTTCTATCAGGTGGGATCTGATGGCCCTAAAGTGGCCTTATCTCTTCAGAGATTTCATGCCCTAAGGAAGCAAAGGCCGATACAAACACATGTGGTGAAACCAGGGAACTAACTCAGAAACTTGGTAGAAAATGATCCCTGGAAAAGACTGCAGTCATTTTTATAATAAAGTTTCTAGCAGAGGTTTCTTGACTTCATGTAAGCCATGTGATAGTTCAGCAGCACCAGAAGCACCACATCCACTCCTGGTTAGGAGTTCCCAGCCCCTCCTGTGGCACTGGCAGTGGCTCCTATCAGCAGCTCCTGTCAGCATGGTTGCTCTGCAGAAAACCAATGTGACCACAAGATGTAATGTTATCTGCCTAAAAAGTGAACTTGCCTTTATTTTTCCAGTTTAAACTCCTGCTAACCAGGTGTAGGTGCCTTCCTGCCTGTGGCTGCTCTCTGATAGCTGAGTCCCAGACTTTGTTACATTGCAAGGATTCAGATGCTCATGGAATCTCTGGCACTGCTGTAGAAATAAATATATATATTGTGAAAGTGTACCTTGAGTCAGCACTGACAGCTGCACATCAGGAAGTGATTTTCTGCCTGATTGAACCAAAACTTCTTTGTAAAACAGGAGACCTTACACTGATGAGAATTAACTCAGGGATTTTTGTCAGACACTAGAATTTAGGGAGTGTATTTATTAGAAATTTTATGGAAATTGTTTCTCATTTATTATCTGCTCTTGTAACATACTGTTGAGTAGTACTGGCAGGTCATTACTGCAGTCACTTTTATTTTAAACTCTAACCAATAATGTTTAAGTCTGAATACTTAGATTATCTGTGAGGGAACAGAAAGTTGGCAAAGCTTTGCTAAGCTTTTGCTCTTCCCTCCTTTCCCTGGAAAAGCTGAGTCTTACTGTGCACTGTAATGCTCTGTTGCCCTCAGGCTGTTTGGTTTGTGTGCATCATCTTGAAAATGTGACTGCAAAAATACCTGAAATACAGTGTTAATTTTACAGTGGATTCCTGTGGTGCTACAGAAATCACTACAGTATTGTTTTTAATCCTTGGGTATTATCCTAACTAGCCTGGCTATAGACTGACTCTCCTGATAGGTGGACTTTGGAATGATGAATTCCAGTGTATGAAGTAAATACTTGATGAGGATGAATGGAAGCAATTCACAGCTCTGCTGAGCTCTATTATTACATTTTGGCTGTGGTGCAGAAAGGAGAGCACAGGGGTTTACAGAATGCCTGTTACCTTTCATCTGAAAAAGAGCTAGAAAAGCTGCTAGTTCAGAGTTTCTGTAGTTCATAACTTAAAAAATGGAGGGAGGAAGAGAGGGGCAGAAAAAGAATTTGTGTTCCCAAATTTAGAAGGTATGAGTGTTGTCCACAATGAAAAACCAGAATAATTTATCCTTCTCATCTCCCATGGCTGTGCTGCACATTGTGTCTCTCAAGGGTTTTTCTACAATTGTGCACTTCCATGAAGTTTTTGAGCAGAAGAGGCCTCCAGTCTGAAACAGTTCATTTAAATGCTGACAAATATTTTCTTCATTATTCTTGCATACAGATATTTTTTCTTCCAAATTTTCAGATTTATGAATTTCAGTGATTCTACTTTATTGCCTGTCATCAGCATTTTCCAGCCTTCTTCACTGAAGACTTGACAGGAATGGATGAAGGGACCCACAGCATTTCTGAACTCACTTGGAAAGGTTCCCTTTCCCCAGTTGAGCAGGAAGAACAATGTGAGAGATGAAAATTAATTGGTGTACTTTGATTTATTTTCTCTTTTTCTCCTATTTCCATTCCTTGTCCATTTGGAGGCTGCTCAAGTTTCAGCTGGACTGGTAAGCTGGGTGTGAAGAGTGGTTTTTGCAACCAGCCTGGCAGGAAGGAGACTGCCAAACAACAGTGCTCAAAACTAGGATTATTGTAGAACTCCTGTCCTAGTTAGATTTAATTTAACACTTTACCTGAAATCATTGTTTTCCAGTTGATTTTGATGTTGAGACTGTTCATTGTAGCTGCTCTCCATACAAAGAAACCTTTGGACATGTTTACTCTAACTGCCAGTGGGAGAGAATTTTCAGTATTATAAAAGTGCTGTGTAATTTCTGCTGTTTGTGGTGGTGGTGGTCTTGGTATTTGTGTGTTTCAGCAGTGTTCACTCAGCCATGCTTCATGTGGAAATGGAATCCCCAAAAGAAATTAATAATGCTCTGGATGAAAAAATTGCCCAGCTCATGTCAAACCTATGTGTTGTACAACAGATTTTCTGAGTTCTTTTTGCCTCAGGATCATTGTGGAACAGCCAGGGCATGTTCCAAAAAATGACCAGCAAGAAATAAAGAACAGTTTACACTCTACATGGTTGTGTGTGATCCCCACTCTGTTGTGCAGGTGATGTTCTGCAGCACATCCTGAAATGTTCCCAGCTGCCCCTCCTGGGCCAGGGCCTGGGTCTGCTCCCAGTGATGGATTTTACTCTTTGGACTGTGCTCTCCAAAACACCAGGATGCAAAAAAAAATGAGAAATGCAGTTATTGTCCTCTCAGGAATTGGGTCATGGACAGCAGACCTGCCTGCTTCTTCTGCACTGATCTGGTCCCCCCTGTGAACAGGAACCAGCAGAGTTTATCTCAGAGGCTGTGCCTGCACAGCTCTGTGCCAGCACTGCCTCTGGGATGTGGGGAAAGGGTGGGCAGCTGGCCTGGCAGTGCAAAATGGGGTGAGAAACTGCTCATGGAGACCCTTTGGGAAGGGCCTTCTTGTTCAGCAAGGTGAGGGTCAGTCATGGGGTGCAGGCCATTTCCTTAGGGGCAGCAGCAGAGGAGCAGTGGCTGGCCAGGAGGGGCTCTGAAGCGTGGATGTGCTTTGTGGCTGTAAGTCACCGTGCTCTCCAATAGCTGTGTCCTGTGAGTGCAGCTCCAAGCACTTTGCAAGGCCCAAGGCAGTCCTGACTATAAGCAAACATGGAAAAAACGCTCATTATTGTGCTGCTGGCTTGATTCCAGAGCTGTAGGAATACTCACACACCTGGACATGAATATCAGCAACTACTTAACGCTGCTAGCCCCAAGTGGAACTGGCACCAAAGAGCACAAATCCCAGCATTTTCACTGCAGTGCAGAATTCTGTCCTGTGCTGCTCTGGCTGTTTTGCTGCTGAGCGTGTCCTGTCCATGCTCAGCCTTTCTCCTGCCCCCAGCATCCCTGCTCGCACTCAGGGCAGCCGCACGACGCCAGGCAGCAGCTCCCGGCACCTGGTTTGAATTTAGAGCTCGTTTGCACATGATGTCACACTTTCATTGTCAGCCCAGCCAAGGTCAGGACAGTTCATTTTGGGAAGGTTTGCACTGAGCCTTTACATTGCTGCCATTAATGCCTTCCCCACCTGATTTACGTTTCAGATTTCAGGCATGATTTCATCGAAGTCACCAGGTATCTGCAGTGAACGGGGAGGTTGGTGCGGTGCCTGATCAGCCCGGGGTGCAGGACTAGTGTTCTGGAGACAGGGTGGAAATTCCTGCTCTGTGCATCGTGTAGCAGATCCCAGATGTGGCCAAGGAGAGTTAAAGAGCCCTGGAGGCTCGGGGCGGTTGTTCCAGTCTGTTGCCTTTCAGGAGCCCATCTCACCACTCCACAGACCAAAGTGGGACAGGGTTCCTGGGAGCCCCTTCTCTCCTCCCTCCCAGGTAGCTCCATTTGATAGTGGGATTTACATGCAGGGGTGGAGAAAATATTTGGGATGTGGTTGTAACAGCACAGAACCTGTCTGCTTCTGGAGTTGAGGGCCTTGAAAATCTCAGGCCTTTTTCTCACCTCTGGTCAAGCTTGGCTGATTCACTGTGCTTTGGGCTGAATAGTGGGGCTTTAGTGTAGCATTTCCCCAGCTGGGTTTGCGCAGCTCATGGCTCCTGTAGGAAGGGGTTAAAGAGCTTCTGATTTACAGCTTCCTGCAGGTCTGCCACTGGGATGGCTCGTGGGACTCACTTTTAATGTTTTGCTCCCCATTTTGATGAACTTCATCCTTGTTAAAGGGAAAGATGAGTGAACATGTGGGGTTTATTCACTTCTCAGTTCACACCATGACAATCCACTTCTCTTTCTCCAAGTATAATAATCAATATTTGATCCTTTGGACCAAAGCAGTGAGGCAGAATCAGCTGCCTGATGGTACAGAGCCTGGGCAGAAGTTGTGCCAAGGGGATCCCTGCCAACCCATGTGTGCATGGCACTGGGGCAAACTTCTGGAATAACACCAACCTCCTCCTTTTGGTGCATTTCAATTGCTGCTCATTGTCTGGCCATAGCAGGCTCCTCACCCTGAGCTTTGGGTTTGGCAGGGGAATTTGTTGCTCACTGAGCAGGGGCTGACCAAGTTCTTCAGCACTTGCAGAGGTGCAGGGAGCTTTTGTGAAATCCCATGGGGTGGGTGAGAGGTGCAGATGGAAGATCTGTCTGGAGGTGGCTTTGCTCAAACAGGGAGAGCTGAGGTCAATAGGAAGGATTTGAGATTCAACCCTCCCTCAGTCCCTTCCTCTGCCCAGGTCCAGCAGGGGGTTATGGCCTTCACTGCCCGTTTGGTGTTATCGACATGTTTGAGTGCCAGGTCATTGCACACAGTTATCTCAGCAGTAGTATGTGGAATTCATGCTCCCAAATTGCTGCATCTTCAGAATGTTGGTTCTTTTTCCCCTCCTAGTTGTGTGCTCTTCTGGGGAGGAGTGCAGCACTGTGAGGTCCTGCTTGCAGACAGCAACTTACCAGACAGTAGTGGAATGGAAAGGTGGAGAGCTGAGAACCCTTTCATTACACGATTTCATATTTATTCATTAACCCTGTCACATGAAATTAGCCTGCTTTGGATTTGGTGGGCTCAGACACCAGTGAAGTGCAAAAGGAGCACTTTGGGGTTGCCATCTGCCAGCACAGCACTTCCTAAGGACTTGAGGAGGGGATGAGCAAGAACAGCCTCAGCTGTTACACAACCAGTGATACCATCAAGGGCAACGAGGCACAAATGATCACCAGATGGGTTTAGGGAGAAAGGCCCAGGTCTCAAGGGACACCATGCCACAACAGGGTGCTCCTCAGAATGTCACTGCTGGACCCAGTTCAAAAGTTGCTGTTGAAATGGTACCGTTTTCCTTTTGGTATCTGCTGGCACAGTTTCCTTTGCTGTTTGCAAGTTGTACATTCTGGAATCATCTGAGCAACGGGAACATTCATCTGGTCCTTTTCCAAGGGGAGATTTCTCTGATGATGGGGGAGAGACATTGTCTTGGCCTGGGTAGCCAAAGACTTCTGTCTTGCCATTCCTTAATCTGGCAGTTCGGTTTGGTGGGTCGCAAGCCAAGGATTTCCCCATTTCCCCAGGGGATGCAAAGCCTCAGGCTGAAACTGCATGGAAACCATGGACAGATTTGATTTTCTTTTTTCCACCCACAAATTCTGAAAGTTGATATTCCACCTTCTTCCAGCCCCTCAAGCTGTTCCTACAGGGCCTGTGCCTTGTGTTTGCCACGGCTTATCTAAACAAGGCCGTTCCCTTTGAGCAGAGGTGTCGCCGCACATTCTCCAGCATCTGCAAAGGGGGAAACATTTGGCTTTAGCACTTCCCTGCCACCCCGTGCTCCCACTGCAGGGGTGGAATACAAACACCAGGGTTTTAGGGGTCCCAGGGGAGGCCAAGCAAAATTCCTTGCTTTGAAATGAACATTAATGCTGAGAAATTAAGTCGTAATGCTGAGAATAAAGAAACTCCATGTACATTCATGTTTTGATAGCTCAGCATTATCCATTAGGCTCCAGCATTTGGAATTCAGGGGACTGTGGAACAACCTATTGAATGGTGATTTTGAGTGTTTTGTGGATTTAGTGCACATTTTAGTCCTAGTTTTGACTTGCATAATTTGCCTCTCCTAGCTTCAAGGAGAGTTGGATCCGTCTTTTGAAGGTGTTTTCTTAAGCGGTTTTTCCACTGTGAAAGTAGTGGAGCAGCCTTGGCTATATAAATCAATTTGGAAGTGATTTATAAAGAGATTAATTTGCCTTCTATTAAAATTCCCTGTCATCTCTCCACTCCCTCCAGCTTGCTGTTAAATGACCTCTTGGGAAACTGAGGATTGAAATCCCTTTCTATGCCGCAGAGAGAATGTGCTTGACTGAAAAAGCTGGAAAAAGCAGGGTCCAGTGGATGTTACCTGGAAAAACACATGAGGTTTTGTTGGTAACTTGTTGAATTTAAAAACTCTTTGTTGTCCTGTTCCAGCCCAGGGAAGAGTGATGATAAAGGACATGAGCAGATGAGTGTCAGTCCCCTTTCCTGGTGGCATTCTGTAGCTCAGAAAGTGTTTAGGAGCCCAAATGCCAGGGGCTTTCAGTGATTGCTGGAATGTTCAGGATCCGGGTTCTTCTGGCCAGGCTGGGCTCTGACACAACCAGGCTGGTTCTGGAGCAGCCACAGAACTGCTGTGGGTTGCTGCAGCTGCAAGGAGGCCAAGGCTAAAGATCCGTAAGGCAGGAAAATTCCCCAGCCCTTCCATTCCCCAGAGAAGGAGGAAGGTGGCTGAGAGGGGAGGGAGGAGGGAGCAAGGTGAGGAAGGATTTGTTGGGCTGTCTCTTGAAATTGTGGCATTTTGCCAACCCAAAACCAGTGTCCATTCAAAAGCACATGGCACCATCCCTGCTGTGCAGGGAGTCTGTGGGTTGGGAGGGGACACCAGCCCCTGTGCTCTGTCACCCTCTGTGAACCAGCTGCCTGTGCCACCCTGAGATCCTTGCCTGGTTTCTGCTCACCCCCACCATGGGCCCATTGTGGTGACCCATCTTGGAGCCTGGTCATTCTCCTTCAAGGAAACCAGAGGAGAGCCTGAGGTCACCCAGCCCCTTCTGAGCTGGCCATAAACACTCACCTGTCCCCAGGGATCTGAAAAAGCTACAGGAGGTGGCTCAGTGGGTGGGAGATGCTCTGAGCACCAGCATGGCCCCTCCCAGGCTACATCCCTGAAATGACTCCACCAGCATTAACACTGGGATTATTTAACCACTGTCACTCCTCTGGGGACCAAAGCTGGCCATCACAACCCTCTGTGACGGGCACATTGCATGGGCAGAGCAGCCACAGGGCTTTTGATGCATCCCAGCAGCTCCAGCTGCTTTGGGCTCTACTGAGCTCCACTGAGACAAAAAAATCTTTGGAGAGCAGCTGTGGGAGCTGCCTCCCACCCAGCCTTGGTGTGGGGACACGTGTGGGGCTCAGGGATGGCTCTCTAAGAGGAGATCTTGGAGCAAAGCAAACCTTGCTCCCAACTTCCTTTTCCACGTGGTGACTATTGCTGCCAACAGTAACAAGCAAAACTGAG